TGGGAGGCAACAAACCAGGTAACTAAACATCTTTTTCTGTTACATGAAATGGTGGAAACACCGGCAGTTCTGTCGTGAACCTTGATGGAGGGCAGAACCAGACCATTATTACCTCTTTCAGCATTTTTGCTTTTATTCCAGTGCTTTGCCAAGTCCACTACGTAAATGTTGGAAAGTCTCGATGAGAACCCGATATTTCCTGGTTCTTACATCGAAATTCACTTAACGCCCCGTTTTCAGGTGAGGGTTCAGTAATCGTTCGTAACACAACAGGAGTTCAATTTGAACGAAAACTATTTGACGGAGACAATGACTGGTTCGTTCTGCAGACCAACTACGACCCTGACAAGGTGAGTACCGAGTGCGTAGCGGCTACCAAGGATAGGCCAATAAAAGCATTATAAAAATTTAAATCAAAATAAGTTTAGAGAGATTCCAAGTTTTTTTGTTCAACCAAATATATTAAACAAATCAAACAGGCTTGTCTTCGATTCCGAAAGCATTCCTGCCCCAGAAATTTCTCTGGTTAAATTATTATCATAAAAATAAAAATATATAAGCTCAAATCGATCAATAGACGATTAAAATATCGGAAAATTGAAAAATATCTAAGTCACGACTCTCGGGTTTCAAGTTTGTAGGGAGCAAGTTAGAAAATGAAGCAGAAAGCGTAAGCATCCATAGCATCCTTTCGTCTGCACTTTGAATGACACTGACAGCAGCATTCATCTTGCTTCTGTAAAGTCTAAGTCTTCAAGACCTACGTCAAAGCAATAAGGTCTGAAAGGCCGGATGTTCTTCGTCCTCTTCACTACTCCTTCGGTGCTCTTGCTCCCTACGCCGCGCGTTCCCGTCTGCTCCGCTTCGGTGCTAGGTCGATCATCATATTAACTTCCTGACCTAGATACTCGTAGCTAGAGCATTTGGAGACAGTCGTTTCGTTTACGTGAAAGGAGCATCAGGTAGCAATCCGTTTATGGACCTCGTCTTCATTAAGTTCAGTCTCAAGCCGATCTTTCCACAAGTGCTGTCAAACTCAGCCAGCATTCCTTCTGCCTGCTCGATGTTCGGTGTTATAAGCACGATGTCGTCTGCAAAGCAGAGGTGATACTGATTGCGGCCGTCGACCTTCACTCCCGAGTCATCCCATTCCAAATGACGCATGATGTTGTCGAGAGCGGGAGTGAGAGGATGAAATGACATTGCCTATAACGTCGAGGTCTCCCTTTCTATTCAACAACACAATCTTGCTAGTTTATTTATATTTGTATTATGTCATTTTTTTGAGAGAAATATGAAAATATTAATCAATTGCGAACCTGCTACTGTAGTTACCTATGCTTTCCTATTCAGTCAGACTGAGATTCATATACGATTGGCCGTACAACTTTGATATTATAAAGCTGTCAATTCCATGAGACGGCCTGAATGTGATTTTCACCTTTCTTTTTTGAGGAACCGCTATTCGTTGATAATCGTCGTGGACCAGGAAATGCTTGTATGAAACAATTGGGACAAAACAGAACAAGTGCTGAAGGCTTGTATCAAGTAGGTTCACTGTTGGGAACATAGTTTTTATAATTCATGAGCACCGTTCCATTCAGGTACTGAAATCAAAGCCGCTGCTCAACAAAACCACCGTACATACTGTGATCATGTCGGTCACGAAGAATATCTATCAGACATTCATTCAAACTTGTCCGAATCCATGTTGGGGATGGTGATATGTTACATTTAGCAATAAATAGTCTAATGCTCCGAAAGCAGCTACATGTAAACCATAAAGAAAGTGATTCTAATTTTGTTTTGGACAGGCTACTCGCATTTTTAAACTATAAACAGGACGCGATCTTAAGCTACAGAGGTGATATAACTGGGGAAAAATTGTTAGGGCTAAGGCATAAAGAAGACAATGTAGAAAAGTACAGCAGGAAGGGTAGATTTTGAACATAAAAGAAATAGGCTAAATAAAACGGAGGGGAACGAATAGGCCTAATGGTTAGGGGTTCATAATTTATCGAATGTGTCGACAGAATTTGCATGGAACTT